AAACCTACAACAACATCAACAACAACATCAACTGTTAATGGTTACCACTTCGCCTACGTGATTCCAATTTAGCGAAGTTAAACAAGCGACCAAACGAAACAAATCGGGAGGCATTTTCAGAGGCAATATTGCACGAGTTCTTAACAAGAAAACGTGTAGGCCTACATACGAGTACATAGAAAAATACTCATGCTGCGGTCTAAAAAATTTTGTTATGTTTTGCGTTCCTCTGTGCTGTGCCATGCTGTGCCGGGCTGTGCTGTGCTGTGCCATGCTGTGCTGTGCCATGCTGTGCTGTGCCATGTTGTGCCGGGCTGTGCTTTGCTGTCTGTGCTTGTGCTGTGCTGTGCTGTGTTGTGATATGTTGTGTAGTAGGCCTACTTTTGTGTACAGTATTGTAATATTCAACGGCCTGTTATTACTAATTATAAGGTAATTTAAGAGGCGGGGGTCTTTCAACATTGTTGTAGAGTGTCAATATTTGGAAGAAATGACAATCAAGTATGCTTGTTGTAGCGTTTCATGAGGGGCATCGATTTGTTCTGGTCTTATTGTTATTCTTGAAATAGTAACGATTTAGACGAATGAAACATTTCTATTTCATTGAGATAGAGTTTTGTGTAACATAATAATAGTTTTTTTTTTTGTTTCTCTCGAAAACCTCGTATTCTGACATTAAGCTACACGGTTGAATGAAGGTTACAAAATATTACACTAATCTCTGATAGTGCCGGGGTAAAAAAAAAGGTGGAGGGCCTTACTTAACAGCTTTAGTTTCGTTTTAGTAACAGTTTTACGACAATTGCAACACAATAAGGACAAATAAGCACTGAAGATTAGAGTTTTAGTTTAGTATGGGGTTTTATGGCGCTCGCAACTGCATAAGGTCATGTGAGCGCGCGAAACACAAGTTAGTTTTTTATTCGCAGTTCACTACACGGCTGGGTACGGGTCATTTATCTAAAAACGTTAAAATATTTAGAATTTGGTGTAAATATATATTTTTTCAATCTAAAATAACCTTCATACAAATTTTAAATAATTTAATTCTGTTCTACAACTTCCAATAAAGACCAATGGCCTTCATAAAATCCAAAATTCTGTTGGGACCAACGACGGAAAAAATGTCTTGAAATTTGTTGCAATTTAAGGTATTTCCTTCGGATCTCTCCAAAGTCTAGACATTCGGTTAAAATGTGTCTAATGGTAAAATCTATGTCGCACCCGACACAGAACGGCTTCTCATCTCCCTGAAGAAGGCATTTGTGTGTTAGGGCCGTGTGTCCAATGCGTAATCGAGTAAAAACGACTTCATCTCTTCTGGAGAGGTCCGAAGGATTTGGCGGTCCCAGTTAGGGTTTAATATTACAGAGTCTAGTGGAGTTTGTTACCAGTCTGTTTTTCCCAGTGGCTCTCCCACAGACTGGAGGTGTACTTTTTTACTTTATTTTTAAAGTCAGTCTGTGGGAGAGTGTTCGTCGTTGATCCCAACAGAAGGGATAAGGATTTCTTCGCCAGGTCATCTTCCTGCTCGTTTCCTCGGATGCCCACATGGCTAGGTATCCTTGCTAACATGATATTTTCCCTGTTTCAGATAAGGTGTGAATTTTCTGTTGTAGCGTAACTATTTTTGGGTGTAGGAGCGTGTAGTTTGTGAGTGAGGTGATGCAAGACCGAGAGTCAGAAAGGATAAGGAAAGATTTGTTAGGAGAATTTTCTACGGAGTCCAGTGGCCTCCGCTGAGAAAGTGGAGGCTTCAGGATGGAGTCTCCTCTGGTGTGTATACTGTTGGGAGATAGGGCTGCGGTGCCCACTTCATTGTCTTTTCTGGAGCCATCAGTGAAGATAAGCTCCGCATCGGGGTATTTTTCTATGAGTTTTTTGTTTTCTGCATTAAATGTTTAAGTGTTTGTGTTTCCTTTGTCGTGTGTGGTCAGCTGTAAGTCTACTTTTGCCTTGGTGAGGTGCCACGAAGGGAGGTCGGGGAAAAGAAATTGTTGGATGTCTTGTTTAGAAAAGTGTAAGTTTTTGAGGTCCTCAAGGGTTCTGAGGCCGAAAGGTTTGATGAGTTTTTCGTTGTTTTGGAATTTGTTCATGGTTTCTGGGTTTGTTTAAAAATGCAGTTGTGTGCTGGGTTCTCTGGTGTTGAGCTCTGTTTAATTGCGTATTGTAGTGAGAGTTGTGTGCGTCTGAGTGTGAGTGATGGTATGTTTGCCTCGGCCTGGAGGCTCTCCACCGGTGGAGATTAGATGTATTACCGAAGAGTAACAAACATGAAAAGGAAGGAGAGCTCAGGATGATAGATGTTAATAAGGAAAGAAGGAGCAATTGAAACCATACC